CGAGCAGCCAACAATCAACAATAATGGCTACAAGTATAACAACAATAACAACTCAATTACATTGCTTCTAAGCTTTAAGGAAACATGATGTTATAAGGGAATAGCCTTAGCATGCCTTTTTCACTAAATTAACATGTCCTAAATACCTTTACTCACAACCCCCCCCCCCCCCACTCGATACTACAACAAGGTAAGACAATGTTGACAAGCTCAATGCTTAGAACAACTTTTGTAAAGGTCTTAGGTCGAGAAAATCTATAATTTGGTTGATCCTACAAATGGGTTTTCTAAGTTTTATGTTTCTTCACAAAAAATGGAGAAAAAGTCGAAGTAGAAGATATATAAAAACTTCCACCGACCTAGGGCCCCACCTCACTGCATGCTTGCGCAATCTTGCAAAATTTCGAATATCTCTCTATTCTGAAGTCTTATGAACAAATGGTTTGATTCATTGGAAACTAGACTCATAAACCTTCGATTTGATAGGTTGTAGGACCCATAACTCTTTATAAATTGGGAGAAAACCTCTGAGACATTTGACCCAAATATCAGAGAAATCTTTAAAAAAGAACTTACGTTAACTTTCGCCAACTTTTATCTTGCCACTTACCTAACTTCAAAATTTGAGATACAACCCTTGAACACTTAAAATATGACATACCACATCTTTCTTAATTATTACTCACCCTCTTTGTCTTTCCACAAAGGTACGAGCTAATTTGGACGTTTCGAAAAGTGGGGGTGTTACAATATCTATAGCACAAGACGTGTCCTTAGTATGATTGAACTTACAAAGGCTCGTCAAGGTGAAGAAGAGCTAGTTGTTGACTTTATCAATCGTTGGAGAAGTTTGATCCTCAAATGCAATGATCACCTTAGTGAAACTTCTAGAATTGAAATGTGCATCGAAGGAATGAATTGGGGTGTTCAGTACATCTTGCAAGGATTAAAGCCTAATACATTCGAAGAGTTGGCAACTCATGCACATGACATGGAATTAAGCTTGACTTTAAGAGAAGACTAACGATCTCCTGTCTATGGACCTCATGTAAATGGAGATATAGAAGAACTCCAAAGTGGGGGCAAGTACGCATCCAAAGATGACTTAGAAGAGTTAACAAATATCTAGACGCTCTTTAACGCACAAGCCTAAACTGCAAGTTATAATGCTCCTTAAGGTATGAGCCTAAACTTCATGTCACACCTGACCCACAAGAGTATAAACTCTGTATGACACACCAAAAAAAACTTCCAGAACTGTGTTGTGACTTGATTATTTTCACTGAAGTATATAGGTACTTAGAACCATATTCTAAGTCCAGTTGCATAGGTGTTTAAAAAAACCACATGCTCCGACTTAATATGTCACATGAAAGTCAAAGCTATAAGTATTTTGTTTTATCTTCTATTTTCATCAAACTTCAGACTTGCACGAAGTGTTGATGGTTCAATAGGGGGGACAATCCTTATAAAATATGAGTTTATTTAATAGTATGCTTGAATTCTTTAAATTCAGTCAAGTATGCAAGTTGAATTTTTTAAATTCTTCAAGTTTGCAAGGTAAAGTCTTCAAATCCTTCAAATTTGCAAGTTGAAGTTTTCAAATCCTTTAACTATGTAAGTTGAAGTCTTTAAATCCTTCAAGTATGTAATTTGAAGTCTTAAAATCCTTCAAGTATGTAAGTAGAAGTCTTCATCCTCCAAGTATGCAAGTCAAAGTCTTCAAATTCCTCAAGTATACTAGTAGAAGTCTTCAAATCCTTCAAGTTTGTAAGTTGAAGTCTTCAAATCCTCAAAATATGCAAGTTGAAGTCTTCAAACTCTCCATGTATGTAAGTAGAAGTCTTCAAATCCTCCAAGTATGCAAGTCGAAGTCTTCAAATTCTTCAAGTATGCAAGTAGAAGTCTTCAAATCCTTCGAGTTTGCAAGTTGAAGTCTTCAAATCCTTCAAATATGCAAGTTGAAGTCTTCAAATCCTCTAAGTATGAAAATATTCAAGTTGAAGGGTGTGTTTGGTATGAAGGAAAATGTTTTCCTCGAAAACAAGTTGATTTTTGACTTATTTTCTCATGTTTGGTTGGTGAGTAGAAATATTTTTCGGAAAAGATTTTTAGTGTTTGATTTATGAATGAAAAATATTTTTGAGAAATATCTTTTATTTTAACTAGAGTAGAAAATAATTTTTGAAATTGAAAATATTTTTTAAAAACTAACTTAAATTTTTTTGGGGTGTGGGGGTTGGGGGGGTTGAGGGTTGGGGTGAAAAAATAAAATTTTGAAGTTGAAAGTATTTTTTAAAAACGAACTTAAAATTTCTTCGTGGGTGGGGGGTGCTGGTAAGGGCTGGGTGGGGTGGCGGGAGGTGGGGGGTAGGAAGGGTGAAAAAAATTCAATTTTGAAATTGAAAGTATTTTTGAAAAACAAACTTAAAAATTATTTTGTGGGGGTGGTGGGGGGGCTGGTAGGGGATGGGTGGGTGGGGGGTCGAGGGTAAGGGTGAAAAAATAAAATTTTGAAATTGAAAATATTTTTTAAAACAAACTTAAAATAATTTTTTTTTGGGGAGGGGGGGTGGTAGGGGAGTGGGTGCGTGGGGGTCGAGGATAGGGGTGAAAAAATAAAATTTTAAAGTTGAAAATATTTTTTAAAAACAAACTTATAATTTTTTTTTGGGGGGGGCCTGGTAGGGGTGGGCGGGTAGGGGAGTTGGGTAGGAGGTGGGTGGTGGGATCAAGAGTATGGTGAAAAAATGAAATTTTGAAGTTGAAAATATTTTTTAAAAACAAACTTAAATTTTTTTTTTGGGGGACGGGGTGGGGTGGGTGGGTGCGGGGGTCGAGGGTATGGTGAAAAAATAAAATTTTGAAGTTGAAAATATTTTTTAAAAACAAACTTAAATTTTTTTTGGGGGGTAGGGGTGGCGAGTAGGGGATAGGTGGGTTGGGGGGGGGGGGTCGAGTTTAGGGGTGAAAAATAAATTTTGAAGTTGAAAATATTTTTTTAAAAAAAACTCAATTTTTTTTTGGTGGGGAGGGAGGGGGGTGGGTGATCGATGATCGAAATGAAAAAATAAAAATTTGAAGTTGAAAATATTGTTTAAAAATAAATTTAAATTATTATTTTTTGAAGGGGGTTGAGGGCTAATAGGGGGCAGATGGGGGGGGCGAGGGTAGTGGGTGGGGGTAAAAAAATAAAAAAATTGAAATTAAAAATATCTTTTAAAAACAATTTTTAATATTTTTTTTTGGGAGGTGGTGGGGATAGGGGTGAAGGTGGGGTAAAAAAATTGAATTCCAAAACAAGCTTTAAATTTATTTTTTATTTTTTTTTGGGGGGGGGGAGTGGTTGGGGGGCTGGTTTGAGGGTAGTGATAAAATAAATTGATTTTTTCAACAAAAAAATAATTGTAATTTGAAGTTGGAAGAGAGGTTTGGGAAATGTTTTTCTTTAAGTTTTGAAGGGAAGTCATTTTCCTTAAATTTGAGGAAAATGAGTTGAATTGGAAAACATTTTCCAAAACATTTAACCCAATCAAACATGAGAAAATTGGAAAACATTTTCCGGAATATGTTTTCCTTCATACCAAACACACCCGAAGTCTTCAAATTCTTCAAGTATGTAAGAAGTCTTCAAATACTTTAAGTATGCAAGTTAAAGTCTTCAAATTCTTCATGTATGCAAGTAGAAGTTCTTCAAATCCTTCAAGTATGCAGGTTGAAGTCTTCAACTTCTTCAAGTATGCAAGTAGAAGTCTTCAAATCCTTAAAGTTTGCAAGGTGAAGTCTTCAAATCCTACAAGTATACAAGTTGAAGTCTTCAAATCCTCTAAGTATGTAAGTTGAAGTCTTGAAATCTTTCAAGTATGCAAGTTGAAGACTTCAAATTCTTCAAGTATGTAAGTAGAAGTGTTCAAATCCTCCAAGTATGCAAGTTGAAGTCTTCAAATTCTTCAAGTATGCAAGTATAATTCTTCAAATCCTCTAAGTATTCAAGATGGAGTCTTCAAATCCTCCAAGTATACAAGTTGAAGTATTCAAATCCTCCAACTCTGTAGGTTCAAGTCTTCAAATTTGTCAAGTTTTCAAGTTAAAGTGTTCAAATCCTCTAAATATGCACTTTGTTAAATTTTCATGCCTTAATATGGAAAAAATTGTCCCTTTGCACCTAAAGCTTGTATTTTCAAGGATTTTTTCCTTGAATGGATCTTTAAATTCTTATGCCTTAAGGTGGACGAGATTTGTCCCTTTGCACCTTAAGCTTGACTTTTCGTGGATTTATCCATTAATGGATCTTATAAAGCCTCAAGTTAGTGATCTCAAGGCGGGGACGTTCAACACAGCCTTTCACACCTCAAGATCAAATTCTTGTGCAGTATTAAGGATCTTATAAAGCCTCAAGTTAGTGATCTCAAGACGGGATTGTTCAACACATCCTTTCACACCTCAAGATCACATTCTTGTAAAGTATTCAGGATTTTATAAAGACTCAAGTTAGTGATCTCAAGGTGGAGATATTCAACACATCGTTTCACAGCTCAGGAAGAAATTTGTGTTCCTTGGGAAGCAAACGAAGGGTCGTTCTAGACCAAACTCGACATTTCAGAACTAACCACGCTAACAGAATTTTCATCCGAGTGCATTTTCCAAGAATGTTGACCAAAGTTAACCTTAGGCCTCGGGACTCGTTTAGACGATGCTTCTAGCCTAATTTGGCCATTCCAGAGCTGATGGAACCGTCAAAATTCCGTCCTAATGTCGTTTACTAGATATTTTGACTAAAGTGAACTTTTCAAGGTTCAAAAGCTCCAAAACAGGGAAACGAGCCTAAAATTCAAACAAACGACCATGCGACTGAACAGTCAGTGCCAGCAAGTCATAAATGACTTGGGGTCGCTATAGGAACGCTCTAAATGCCGAAATGAATGCATTAACTCAAAAATGACCTGGAGGGTCATTACAACACTCACTACTAAAAGAACTTTTGTCCACAAAAGTAAAAGTCAAGAAGTACCTGAAGGCTCAAATATGTCGGGGAACTGCTCCCGCACCTCCTGCTCGGTCTCCCAAGTGTCCTCCTCGACTGGACGGTGCCTCCAATGAACTTTAACCACAGGAATGATTCTGGATCGCAACTGTCTCACAGTTCTTTCTAAGATGGCAACTTGCTTCTCAATATAGGTCAGTCGATCATCTAACTCAACCACAACAAATTGGAGCACATGGGACTCGTCTGGAACATACCGGCGCAGGATCGAAACATGGAATACCAGATGGATAGCTAAGAATGTTGGAGGCAAAGCTAACTCATAGGCAACCTTACCAACTGTCCACAAAATTTCAAAAGGCTTGATATATTTTGGGCTAAGCTTGCCCCGCCTCCCAAATCTTATCACGCCCTTCATGGGTGATACTCGAAGGAATACTCTATCACCAACGACAAAGCTTAACGACTGACACTTGTGATCCGCGTAATAGTGGTGTCTACTTTGAGTTGTCCTAAGCCTATCCTAAATCACCCTCACATGATCTAAGGCCTCCTGAAGAAAGTCTATGTCGTGTGGCCTAGTCTACATAGACTGAAACCAACCAACTAGAGAGCAACAACGCCTACCATATAAGGCCTCGAATGGGGCCATCTATATACTAGAGTGGTAGTTGTTGTTGTACGTAAAATCCGCCAAGGGAAAAAACTGGCCCCACTGACTTCCAAAGTTCATGACACAGGCCAGCAACATATCCTCAAGGACCTTAATAGTGCTTTCACTGGCCATCAGTCTGCAGATTAAATGTTGTGCTAAGGTCGACAAGGGTGCCCAACTCCTCCTGAAAGACCCTCCAAAAACAGGAAGTAAATTGTGAACCTCGATCTGAAATGAAAGAAACAGGCACACTATGAAGACAAACCACCTCCCGAATATAGATACGAGCCAATCTCTCGGCACTACAAGAGGTATGAATGGAGATGAAGTGTGTTGACTTGGTCAATCGATCCATGATGACCCAAATGTTGTCAAGACCCCTAGAAGTCCTAGGCAAACCCACAACGAAGTCCATGGTGATACGCTCTCATTTACACTCATGAATAGGTATTCTCTGAAACTCACCATGAGGCCTCAAATACTCGGCATTCACCTGTTGGCAACACAGGCAACGGGACACATAGTCTGAGATATCTCTCCTCATACTGCTCCACCAGTAATACTGCCTCAAGTCACTATACATCTTAGCGGTGCCCGGATGGATGGAATATCTAGAATCATGGGACTCGCTAAGGATCAACTAAATCAAACCCCCAAATCTCAGAACACACAATCGTTCGGCACACCACAACACTCCATCTGAATCTAAAGTAGCCAGCCAAACATCGCCTGCCAATACTCTATCTCTGAGTGCCACCAAAGACTCATCCTCGAACTGTCGCCCACGGATCCGGTCTAATAAAGATGACTGAATCCCCACATGAGCTAACACCCGTCTGGAATCTGAAAGATCTAGTCGGATCTTCTGGTTGGCTAAGGACTAGATGCCCAAAGCCAAAGGCCGCTCCGAAACAGAAAGCAAGGCTAGACTACCCATACTCACTGTCTTCCGACTCAAGGCCTCCGCTACTACATTCGCCTTACCTGGATAGTAGAGAATATAGAGGTCATAGTCCTTCAGGAGCTCTATCCAACGGCGCTGCCTTGAATTAAGATCCCTCTGGCTTATAATGTACTGAAGGCTCCGGTGGTTAGTGTAGATCTCACAACGCACTCCATATAGGTAATGCCTCCAAATCTTAAACGCAAAAACTATCGCCCCTAACTCTAAGTCATGAGTGGGGTAGTTATGCTCATGCGACTTTAGCTCCATCGACGCATAAGACATAACCCAACCCTGTTGTATTAAAACACAACCCAAACCAACATCAGATGGGTCACAATAAATTGTAAATGCCTCGCCCTCAACTGGAAGAGTCAATATAAGAGCAGTGGTAAGCAACTCCTTGAGCCTCAAAAAGCTCCTGTCACACTCCTCCGGCCACTCAAAGGGAACATCCTAGCGAGTCAACCGAGTCAAAGATGTTGCTATAGTAGAAACGCCCTCAACAAAATGCTTGTAGTACCCTGTCAATCTGATAAAGCTATGAATCGCAGTCATAAAGGTGGGCCTGGCCCAATCACAGATAGCCTCAATCTTCGTTGGATCAACAATAATGCCATCCTTGGACACCACGTACCCCAAGAATGCTACAGACTCAAGCCAAAACTCGCACTTTTAGAACTTGGCATAAACCCGATGATCTCTCAAAGTCTGGAGCATTACCCTCAATGTTGCTCATGCTCACTCCGGCACCGCGAGTATACCAATATATCGTTGATGAAAACTATAAATAAGAAGTCAAGGTACGGCCTAAATACACAATTTATCAAGTCATTGAAGGCAGCAGCGAAATTAGTCAACCCAAAAGACATCACTAGGAACTCATAATGGTCGTAACGAGTCCTAAATGCGGTCTTAGGGATGTTTGCTGCCCTAATCCTCATCTGGTGGTAACCGGATCTCAGATCAATCTTAGAAAACACCTCAGCACCCTAAAGCTGGCCAAATAGGTCATCACTATGAGGCATGGGGTAATAGTACTTCACCATCACCTTGTTCAGCTACATGTAATCAATACACATCCACATAGTATTGTCATTCTTCTTTACAAACAGCACTGGGGAACCCCAAGGTAATACACTAGGCCGAATGAATCCCTCACCCAAGATATCCTGAAGCTGAACACTAAGCTCCTTGAGCTCTGCATGGGGCCATACGGTATGGTGAGATAGAAATAGGAAGAGTATCGGGCTCCAAGTCAATGGAGAAATCAATATCACGATCTAGGGGTAGGCCAGGTAGGTCGACAGGAAACACATCAACAAGCTCTCGGACTACAGGCACTGAATCAACCGTAGGGCCCTCCCTACTAATATCTTTAACATAAGCAAAGTAAGCCAAACATCCGCTAGCCACTAACCTCCAAGCCTAAATGCAAGAAATCACCCCAACCGACGTGCGACTACAAGAGCCCTGCCACACCACCGGTTGAATACCAGGCATGGCTAAGAAAACGATCTTGGCATAGTAATGCAAAAATGCTCGGTGAGGGGATAACCAGTCCATTCCTAAAATCGTGTTGAAATCTAACATATCAAGTAAAATAAGATCAGCCCTAGTGTCTCGCCCATAAATAGTCACCAAAAAAGATATAAAGATTTGATCCACTACTAAAGAATCACCTACTGGGGTCGAAACGCGTAACTGCACTGCTAAGGACTCGGGCACATAATCAATCGAGGAGCGCAATATACAGACACATAAGAATAAGTGGAGCCTGGATGAAATAAAGTTGAGGCGGGCTGATGACATAAAAGTATCATACCTATAATCATATCATCTGAAGACTCGGCCTCTACTCTAGTTGGAGCTGCATAAAAGTTAGCCTGGGCGCTTCTACCCCGTGCATCAACTCTACCACATGTCCTGCCTCCTCGGGGACCTCCCCGTACACTCTGATGACCACCCCGATGATCCTGATCATGACCTCCTGTAGTTGGAGGTGTTGCTGCTGGTGCGGGTCTAGCTGGATGTGGAGCTAGTGCGACTGACCTACGGAGAGGACACTCTCTGGACCAATGATCGAGCTCTTCGCAGTCTTAACAACCCACTCACAACTGGAGGCTGGCCACCCCGGCCTGAAGAACCCGACTGAGTACCACCTCGGCCCTGACTCGGATCGGCACTAGAGCTACCCTAACGGTGTTGGTTACCCTATGTAGCATGAAGTGATGCCTAGAACGGGCGAGTGGACTGACCCTGCTAGAACCTCTGGCGGGGCCTATCATGTGAGTCTCTAGGCCTGAAACGGGGCCCACTGTGACTATCATCTTGTATGGCCTCTTGTTGCTACCCCCTTGGGCATCACGATGGAGCTGGTTTAGTGTGCGAGAGTGGTCCACAACATCAAGAAAGGAACGTCCCGCTGAAACCATGGATTGAGTCTCTAAGCGCAGCTGCAGCCTCAATCCTCCAACAAAACATTGAACCCTCTCATGCTCCGTTAGTAAGATCATAGTACCATGACGGGAGAGCTTGTGGAATCTGGCCTCATACTTTGACACAGTCATAGAGCCCTGCTCTAACCTTGAAAACTCATCACGAATCCGATCTCTGACACTTCACGGGACAAACCGAGCCAAGAATGCCTCAGAGAACTCTGCCCAAGATACAGATGGGGACCCAACATGCCTGGTTTCCAAGTAAGAACGCCACCAATGTATGGTAGTCCTATATAGCTGATAAGCGGTGAAGTCGGCCCCTCTCACCTCTACCAAACCCAAAGTATGTAGCCGCTCCCGGAAAGTAGTAGGGAACTCATGGGCATCCTCTCCAACATCCCCAAAAAACTCGACGGTGACAATCTCAGAAACACTCGGAGCATCTTGTGCTCTCGTAGTGGCATGACCCCATCTAAAACATCCAATAGGATGGCGGTTGGTTGATGATTCCTCAGATTGGACTCATTTAGAGTTTAATTTTAATATAAATAGTGTCCTCAAATGCTTATTTTCTCTCAATATCTGATGAAAACTCTCAAGTTTCAGGTATTTGAAGTTTTAATGGAATCATAGACACTTAGGCGCAAAAAGAAACAAAAAGACTGAAGAAACTGAAGCCTCAGCATCGTCGAGCACACTTGGTACATTGCCGACTGGACATACTTCGCCCTTTGTTCCAGTACACGAAGCCTTGAAGGAAGAGGATCAAAAAGGCGATGAAACGAGCATTTGGCGTATCGCCGATCAGTTCCGCGAAGTAGAAATATACCGCCCAATGGTCCAGGATGCAAATATGTTATAGGCAAGCATAGAAGGGCGACGAACCATACGATGGGTGAATCACTGATTCAATTAGTAATTCCCACTTACCTCGCTGAACGATCCGCCGCAGCACTATTTTCTGAAACTATAAATACTAGCTCTTTATTAGTTTTAAGCATATACGAACATTATTGTAATTTTGAGACTTAGAATATTAGCTTCTACATTTTTCTCTCAAGTTTGGAGAGGGTTTTGGGGAGACTTGAAGAGAGAAGGAGTTCATCTTCCCCAAATTGGAAGTGGGTCTTCTCCATTCTTCTTCCTTTTATTATATTAACGTTTAATTTCTTATACCCATTTAATTTCTCTATCATTTTAGGTATAATTTCTTATTTCTTGATGTATGGCTAAAAACCTCCATTCTTAGGGTGTGATTTAGCAAATATGTGTTGATATCATTGTTGGGTTTTGCTTGCTGATAGGTTAGATGTATTTTAATGGTGATTTCACCTAGTGGTTGTGGTTTAATTTAATGGGTTTGTAGTTGCAAATACAAAATCACCCATGTGTTTTCGGCTTTCGAGAAAGAGAGAGGTCGCGAAACCAAAATCGCTAGACTGATGGCCTAAGAAGTGGGTCGACATGAGGTTCAGCCCGAGAGGGTGAGCCCTAGTCCCATATACTAACCCTCAACTCGAGAGAGTGAGTGGTGTAAGGCGTAGGCTGGCCTTCTTGCGGCAAATGGGTGTCCGAGAGAAACCAATTTAAAATGGGGTAAGTTGCCCGAGAGGGAACTTATTTTCATCTAAAGCTTAGCCTAGTCACTATAATCTTGCAAATTTCCTATCAAAAGCATCTACCCAACTATTTATATCAATATATATTGCGGTTACACCCCAAGAACTTCTCCCCATACTTGAATTTTCTCTTTATTTTTGTTGTTTTAGCTATACTTGTGACAAACCCCCATTGATATTTGACACTTTGGTGTCACCCACTTGAATTTACTTTGTTTTTATTCAATAATTTCTCAAACAACAGCTAATTAGAACAAAATTCTAGCCTAACTACTATTTTCACTACCACTCTCTTGGGACACGACCCCAACCCTTGGTTGGGTTACTATATTACCGACGATCGTAGACACTCGAACCGTAGGTTAGTGTCGTTGGTCACGATAAGCATCAAAATGGCGTCGCTGCCGGGCAGTGGTGTCATATGAAAATATAGTTAACTAGAGTTTTTTATTCTTTTTAGTCTAGTTTTACTAATTTTACTATAAATTTTGTTTTTCTTTTAGTTCTTTGTGTGTGCAGGTACCTTAGCATTTCTGAGGGTAGGGGTGGCAAGTCGGTTGAGATAAATCAAGGAGTCGAG